GGTCATCTGCATGAGGTAAATTGTTTGAATCTCATTAATTGTAATTCACTTATATGCTCTATAATAAAAATTGTATTGTGAATCAGTTTTAATATTTTATAAATTTAATAATCTACTTGGATGAGTTATTTACTCACATTTGTAAAAAATGTATGTATGTGTGTATATATATATATATATATATATATATATATTGTTAGAAAAAAATTAAATAAGATACAATGTAATTTATTTCCTATCTTCCAATCAATATTTCTTCATTCATTCTACAGAAAAATATAAAGATTATATAATAAAAATGCTGAGTGACAGATCTTTTTACTGTTTCATACTAATGCTGAATAACTTGCCAATTTTCTTTGTTGTTGAATTTTGAACTTCCTCTTCACTTAAGATTTATTTATGAAGCCACATGAATGATAAGTGACACTTCTGTCAGAATTTAAATGCAAGCAAATTGCATTGTCTGTTTTCTACACAAGTAACACACTGAAAACATTGTTCATCCATTGACAACTTAGGACTGATTAACTACTGAAGTTAATCATTTTTATACCTTTTCTAATTGCTAATAGCAGTTCAAAGTCACCATATAAGCAATGTGAATTCTTGATATAAATGATCAAATTATTACTCTCCACTGATTTTTTTCAAATAGTGTCTTTATCTTTATTGTTATCACAATATTTCAACTGTTATGCTCTCCAGTTTCTTCAGTTGTCTCCCATCTAACTTTCTGAGAATTAAAAACAGAATCCTTTATTCAATCCACTCATTAGGTTGTTCTCATTTTGCTTTCCATGCTCAAGTTTTTCATATCAATTAATTCTTCCTCATAACATCACTTCCACTGAATCAATATATAACTTACTTTTTGCAATACCTGACACAGGGATTGAACTCACAACTGTCAGATAACTTGATTCATTTAACTAACAATAACAACCAAGATAAGGACACTATTCTGAACAAATCAGTGTATGATAATGAATTCCTCATCTCAAATTTTTATTAATTTATCTTTAATAAGACACTAGTTATTTTTATACACATCATAAGTTTTGGTTTCAGAGCCAGGTTATGGAGATATCCACAAAGTCTTTACCATGCCCAAACTACCCAGATTATTCATATAGTTGTAAAATCTAACAATATAAAATGTATTCAGTATTTAACTTAAAAAAATCTTGAAAATATTGAAAAAGGTAATAAAATGAAGACCTTATTTTTTCAGTCAATTTTATTTTTCTAGAGTGATTTCAAATCTAATTCATTTTAAGTGATTAAGTAATAAAGGTGAAAAAGTGAATAGATATTGGATCTGGGTTTAATGTATTCAATATTTATCAATGCAAAATCTTAACGCTAAGAGTTAACCATGACAAAGATCTTTATGACCAAAAGAGATGACAAAAATTCTTAAACCTTCCACAGTTTTTTTTTGTTTTTGTTGTTGAGTAGTTCAATTGATCATTACATTATAAGGTCATGTGATGTATCAGCTGTCAAGTGATTTATTGATATTCTGAATCAATACAAGATTCATATCTTTTCAATATTTTAAGTTAAAATTAAAAATTAGATTTTGAATCACAAAAAAAATTAATTCATTAAAAAAACATTAAGAGTGGAATTTGAAAACATCTGAGATGAGTAAAGTATAAAAGGTAAACTTGGATCCAATATTTATTCAATCCTTCACCTCCTGAAATCATGCGCATCCTGGGTAAGATGTTAAACTACATCTGTGTCCTGGGTAAGACGTTAAACTACGTCCAGCAGCAAGGCCTCTGATCAGGAGGTTTTGAGGAGAATGGAACCACCTCTTAATTGCTGGTGTTCCCAGGTTCACCCTGACCCAAATGGGTAGAACCTGTTAGGGTCCCAAGCTATGGGCAAATAGTTAACTATTACCAGCAATACTTTTTTTTTTTTTTAATTATTACCAGCAATACAATTTTGAAGGAAACATATTACCAGAAACAGATTTTTGACAAAACAAAATATTACCAGCAATACAATTTTGAAGGAAACATATTACCAGAAACAGATTTTTGACAAAACAAAATATTACCAGCAATAAAATGTTTGTGAGCATTAAATAACCCATTGGGGTTGATATGTCATTAAACAAAATAAACCAAACCAATCTAAACCAAAGAATACATACTCTATTCATATGAATCTATTCTAAAGATGTTGACGGCATTAAATAACCCATTGGGGTTGATATGCCGTTAAACAAAATAAACCAAACCAAACCTGAAATCATGCCGTGAAAAAGTAAATACATATTTAATCATAATATATAAGAACATTTGGCAAGCCTATACCAAAGTGTTTTAGATTGGTGCCAGTCATTGTATCACTTTATGATCATAGAGTTTCTTTTAAATACAAAAAGAATCAAGAACAATAAATATTACTTTTTATGAACTTGTGGGTAAAATAAAAGTTGTCCACATCAAGATGGGACCTTCTGTTAATCGAACCTTTAATCCAGGGAATAATATCTCGTATGTAAGAAAATTACTTTATTTGTTCTCATCATTTGACAAGATTAAAAGAAAGTATCATTTCAGATTAAACTAATGAAAATAAAATGATGTATTAACTCATAAATTGTCATTTTTATTAAAAGTCCCTTGTTAATCACACAAATAATTCTTAATATATCATGAAATTAATTTTTAATCATTGTCATGAGATCAAATAATGTTAGTGTTTTTATTATCAACATTTAAAATAACTTAAAACCCACATGAAATTATAATATTAATGAATATGGCTAGCATCAAATCCATTGACATTGCTGATGTGGTCAATACAAAATGTTATTAAATAGAAAATGGGGTAGAAACTAACAAATGACTATCATTTTGTTTTACTACTATGAGATTAATGTTTGACTTTTTCAATACCAAATTTTTATCATAGAGCTTTGCAATCTCATAAAAAAAATTGTTTATAAATCATTGTCATCACTGTGAGATGCAGCCTTCATTTCCCAACCATCAATTTGCATATATTCACTAGATTTCCAATAGACTTACTTTTTTGTAGTAATCTATTATTTAAGCAGATTTGTCTTAATGAAACTTTGGTAGAGGTTTGCCAAATGTTCTCATATATTATGATTAAATATGTATTTAGTCTTTCATGGCATGATTTCTGGAGGTGTAAGCTGTGTCAAACAATGGATATAATTAGTAAAGCAAAAAGAGTTTTAATTTGATAAGGGAGAAGTAAAGAAAGCTAAATTGCTTCAATTTACACCAAAGAAGACTTCCATAAACATTTAATGGCTTTTGTCATGTGTACAACCAAGATTAATGTTCTCTGGATATTTACATATCTTAACTTTAGTCTGGAACACTGTCATCAAAGTGAGAATAAAAGTCACTATATTAGAAAACACTCTGTACCACAACCCCAAGAATAATTTAGCCTAATTTTCTCATATCTCTTATGAAAGATTTAATTGATTGCTTTGTAGTGATGAAACCATCTTTTAATTGCTGTTCTCAGGTCCACACTGACCCAGGGTAGTAGCACCTGTTGGGGTCTCAGATATGGGCAAATAGTTAACCACCAAACAAAAACAAAACAATATGAAAGTATAAAAATACATTTTTCTTGTAAAAATCAGCAATACATTTTGTATAAAGAATGACCAACAATACATTTTATAGTAGAATTACCAACAATGCATTTTATAGCAAAATGACCAACAATTCAATTTATCTGTAGTTAAAGGCATACAATTGTGTTCCAAATATTTTTAATTGAAGTCATAAAATTGTGTTCAAAATATTTAGATTTCAGCATTAAATAACCCATAAAGGTTGATATGCCGCTAAATAAAATCAACCAGCCTTGTAGTGATTATTGCTAGTATTATATGATAAGCTTCAGTTAAGTCTTTTGTAAGAAAGCATGATACATTACTTGAATTTATATTCAGAATCCTTTCATTTGTAATAAGTCCAATACCAATTCTGACTTAACAGTTACTACAAGACTGGTTCATTGCAAGCATATTTTGCAGGCAAATTGATTCTATAAGCACTTTTATTAATAAGGCATAACAAAATGAAATCCATTCATTTTAAAAGGAGGCATTTGCCAAATCTCAGCAATCATACTTTATTCCAATTTTTCTTCTGTGGCAACATCTGAAATTATCATTGCACTTCATCCATTCTCAGATCTTATATTAGTACACTATATATCCTCATTGAGCATTAACGCATATGCCTCTACTCTTACATGCATATGATCATAATTACCATCCTGTGATATATTATTCCACACTTCTTTCACTACACTGAACCTTATCACAGCATGCATCTACTATCCCTGGCACATGCATATTGTATACAAGTCAAAATCACCATGATTCTTCAAGATTGGCAATTTTATTAAGGATTCTGTCAATGATATAATTGTATAATTCTTTGTAATTTTCATAATAAAAATCATTATTTGACTTTCTGCTAAAGAGTGATGATTAAAACTAATGTAAGTTTGTGTTTGCACAAGTGTGATGGTTATAAAGTTCTTTGTTTTTTATTGATTACATCAGAAGTGGTATTCAGTAAGTACTCTTACAGTCTCTTAAAGTCAAATTGGCAGTAAATCTTATCTGCATTGTATACTTAATACTTGCCTTCTTTGTTATATGCATCATGCTTAATAAAGTCAATTAATTAAAGACAATAAATGCACAAAGATTATTGGATGTTGCTTTCTTGCTTAATATCAGTTTGATTTGCAAGATAACATTTTCTCTAGTTCTCCTTTTATTTGCATATTTGTTGTTTTTACATAATTATTGTTGTTGCTATTGTTTGCATGTTTTGTTGTCACTTGAACCCATATATATTTATTACTTTTAAAATTCTTTCCTTCATGCCAATTGTAACTCGACTGTTACAAGCAACTGCTGTTGTGATAACCCATTCTTTTTTTCCTTTTATATTTTGTTATTATTGCTGCAGTTTTTCAAAGTTGTTTCAACATGGTGTCATCCAACACAAACACAACAATAGCAGGCCACCAACCATCTACGAGGAGGACACCAACCTCAACAGGGTGGAATATCCCACCTCAAGTACGGAATCTACTAAGTCGCCAAGCAAGGGAACTAGCTACAGCATGTTGGTCCTCCAACGTGTCTTCGAGGCCTTCCCATATCTGTGAGATTCTCTGTCCAATTAGACCTTTTTTTTCATTAACTCTTCCTGCCTCTTGCCTGGCAGGACATATTTCACCTTTCATCTAAAATACTTAAAGCCAACACTTGCATTAAACCAACTGATATTTTATTGCTTTTCCTTAACTAGCATCAACTTACTGATCTAAAATTGATTTACTTTTTAATTAACTGCTTAGACATTTACTAGTAATCTATTCATTACAATATTAACATTTCATATTCCTATACCTAATTAATAACTAGATATTTTTTATTCTCTTTGCTTTAAAAGAAAAATGTTAAACGGTTTTTGGTTATTGTAATATGAAACAGTACTTAACTGTAAGGTTTAAACTGATGAATAACTTTTTTTCTTTAACTTTTTTGCTTAAACTTCTAGTTAATTGGAAAAATGAATAGAACAGCATCCTTAAGGTGTTAGATGCCTGCTATATTAATATATCTTCATGACTCTTTTCACCAAATAGAGACAAAAAAAATGATTTTTTCCCCTCTTGCTGTGTAGAAAATGTACAGCTTTGAAACTGTGAACAGCTTTTAAATGTGGATTTGAACAGATCCCCAATCAGATTAAAATTTGCAAACCAGCTGTTGTTGCTTTTCAAACTGAAATAATTGCTGCTTTTATAATCAGCCATTTCTACTTCATATTCCATCATCATGCCTTGCATGCTGCTTTTTACATTACAATTTCTTTATCCAGTTTTAATAATGTCACTTCTACCTGAAACGGGTGGTTTCTTAGAATTACCCTGTGTTGTCAGCTTTGAACATTTTACAACACAGACTGGAAATCATTTTCTATCAAAAATAGTAAGCTTGGCTCTTTACAACTGAAAACGATGTTATGTATTTTCTAAAATAAATTTGAGATATTTTACAAAAAGTTATCAATATTTTTAAATTCTTATTACCCAGATTCATATTTTCATTTTTTCTTTCTTTCTTTTAATATCTTTGTTTTTCAACAATCCTGCCTAAGATGAAAATATTAATCAAATGCTTTAAATCAAAGATTTTATCCACTTTTAGTACCAGTACCAGAAATCAATAAGGCACTGTATAAAAATTCATCTTCATCTCTTTTAGTGTTGCTCCTTATATTATTTTGGTATGAAGATAATGATGTATTTGCACAAAATAACATTTTATATCAAGTTAGATATTATTGCTACAAAAATAAAATCATGCATAAGAATTTTACTATTATAACTTAGGTTATATTCAGTTAATTGTTGAATATTGCAGACATTTGAAAATAATCAAGTTATCATTTTTTTTTTTTTTTAATTTCAAGGATAAAGAAAATTATTATTAGAAAAGTTGGTATTTGAATTATCATGCTCTTAATATTCAGAAATATTTTCTTCAATATTATTATTACCTGCTAGATGAGTCTGTTAAGAAAATAACATACCAATCTGTTGCAGTCTATGAATTCGTTATATACCAACTTTCTTCATACCTTTTTTTCTGTAAAAGAACATCTCAATAGGTAAGGGACGAAATGAACAGCAGCACCAGAGACCAACAAAGCAAAATGAAATCAGAGACATGTCTATGGCAGAGGTGATAAAAGAATTCCATACAGGAACACAGCAAACAAAGCTCAAATGTAACTGGACACAGAAAATGAGGACAAACAAATAGGAAATCAGAATCACAATGTTCTATATGCTAGTAATGCTGGCAACTCACAGACTGATGAAACAGAAAATCCGTCTGTTTATATGTCACTATTCATGACACGGATCATTTGCATATATAAATTCTAGGCACCACTTTGCCCACCATGACCATATTTTTTGCAATTGAACATTCTTGGTTTCATGCCAGCCATCCTCTCCTGCATAAGCAGCAACATTTCACTCCCACTACAAGGGCCCTTGTTTTTTTCTCTCTTATTTTTTTCTGTCAATTAAGTAATTGCTCAAAAGCCCAGTCTTAAGGTTGTCCAAATTAAGTATTTATTTTATTTTGTTTTTTTTTTTTACTGTTAGCTATTTCTACAGGGTGAAATGGGTAAATTATTGCCATTTTCTATTTTAAATTTCATGCATGCATGTTGTTTGTTTTTGATTTTTGTCAAATGCACAATACAGTAGGGTCAGTTGGGCACTGTCTGTGAGAAAAAGAGCACCATGATGCAATTCACTGGAAACAACATGCTGTACTGCTTAACATTCGCACTGGAAGTTCCAATACGAATATTTCAGAGTGTTTGGGAGTTAATCTGACGACAGTGCAGAGGATTTGGAAAGAGTTGGATGAGTCTAATGGTGATTACAAGAGTATGGTAGCTTGGAAAATTCACTCTTCAGATTATTCTGAACAGAAAAGAACTCCCGAATTTGTTGGTTAGGGCCTCAGACTCAACACAGAGACCTATATATATATATATATATATATATATATATATATATATAAGTGCTTTGAGGTAGTAGTGCTGCCCTGAGTCAAGAAGGTAGCTGCTGGAAAATTCTATGTCTGGCAACAGGACTGTGCACCATGCCACATAAACAGATGAACCCAGTCATAGATGTCAGACAGTTTTTGCAACCACACCACCCCTTACATCTGGCCATCTAACTCCCCAGACTGCAACCTACGTGATTATTATGTGCAGGGCACAGTTGATTGAGAAACCAGCAAAACTCCTTGTAGCACCAAAGATGAACTGAAGGCAAGGATTAACCATCCAGAAGAGTTGCAGGAGATTCCAAAGTTGTCTGGAGGCCATGGTTGAAGCCAATAGCAATTTTATTGAATAAATTTGCTCTTTAGTATTTCAAGATATTTTTGTGCAATCTTGGTAAATATATCTGTTAAAATGAGATGTCAGTGTTATTTTCATTTTTGTGTAATTTAGGCAACAATTCATCCATTGCACATTGTACTTCTGTAGTAGCTGTGATATATAAGGTTTAGATTTGGTTCTGTCTTATTTTCTTAGTTTACCAGATAATACATTTAATATAAAAAAAATAGAAAATAATTTGGGGAGTGTGATCTTTGTTTTCTTGCTAATTGATAAAATCACCAAAAATTAGGTAGAGCTATGATAACAGGAAACTGTCATTAGTTGTGACAGTCTAGTTACAAACACAGCACTTATTAACTCTAAGCCTCATTTCAGGCATGATTTGGTTTGTAATCTGACATAAATTCACTTGGCAAACTATACCTGAATCATTGCAACAGATAAATCCAATTCATTTTTATGAAATCCCATTTATTGAATGGGTTAGTAAGGCACTAGAAGTAATAAAAGCACCATGTAATGATTATTGCTTTTAGATAGATGGCAATGTTGGAAATTAAATAAGTTTAGAACTTAAGACAGTTCAAAAGGATAATGTACAATGAACAAAATGTATTCTACTTAAACATATTAAGTATTTAAAAAATATATGTGGCAAACAGTTTCATTGCATAAAATATTCATCAAGATTAAACTAATCAATTTTGTTATACAAATCAGTTTCAATTGGTATTAACCAACCAATGTTGGTGAATATGTGATTTTCAGCTAAGAATGTCTTTATTAAAAATATTTATAACTTTATAGATATTTTTTTTTTTTTTAATTTCTTGCACTTTTCTTTTTGAGAGAGAAACCTTTCTTTGTTTTCATTTTTACAGTTTAATATATTGGTGTTGGTTGAGGTATAACTAACAATTTAGAGATAACTCAGTGCTTGTCTGTAAGGAATACTGGTGTAAATAAATAAATATATATTTTATTTTTTGTCCCGTTTTATCTTGCTCACTTGTCAGATATAAATAGTAAAACAGGCTGAAAAGGAAAGGATCATTATTGGATTAATGATTGTTTTATATGCCTCATGATAAACAAGCAATACTGTTGCTGCTACTTAAAGGTGACCTTTAAATATATTATGAATTTTTACAAAAATTGTCAATTCTTGAACTATTAGATTTTAGAAAGCATTAATCACATTTGAAAAATTTAAATATAACTTGGTCTCATATGTATTATCTGTTTTTGTGCAAGAACTGATCAGTCAAAAATCTGCAAGTGTACAGAAAAGGTTAAGATTATTTGTATTCCTACTGCTTTTATTTGCATTAATTCAACCAATCATTTGACACAGACACCAAGATGATTCCTTGAAATGATACATTTGGGTCACTCTAATAAATTCCACCCAAAGATTTCACTGTCCTGTTTGATGTTTCCATCTTGGTTTTTGCTATTTGTTTTAGCAAGATTACATTTGCAGCACACTGTCATTAATATCAGAAATGTGACAATCAGTACCAAAGATTCTTCAGTTACTAAGACTGCAGTAGTCATTAGTTCCAAGGCAACATACATTCTTGAGATTTATAATTAGATCTCATAGCCATAATCATAAGAAATATGCTGGCCAGATTTTTTTTTTTTTTTTTTTGCTTATACACAAGAGAAACTTTTTCCCCTTTTCATTAGTATTGATGACTGACAATAGATTTTAATTTGTTGTCTAATTTGCTGTGAATATTTATTTACTCAGATGAAAATCTGTTAAAGCATATCTTTGAGTGTTATTGTTAATTAGTACATTTTAACCAAATTAGTAAAAACATTGACAGATGTATTTCTTCCAATTCCTTTTTCCTCTAGCTGTTTTTTTGTTTATAGTTTGATGACTTTATTAGTGTTAAATTGATAATGCATTTTAAAATATGCATTTGATATTTCACCAGATATTTTATATGCACAATTCTGTTTTTTTATCTTTTTTTTAATAATTCTAACTTGAAATAAAGGTTGACAAATCCTATTTTTTTAGTAAAATATAAATGAATGTTTATATTGAGACAAAATATTCAAACTTGACTAGGGATCCTTTTTCCCCCTTCATCAATGTAAACTTTAAGGATGCACCACAGGTAAGATTAATATTGAACAGAAAAGCTGAGTACTTCATCAGGTGACTATCTGTGAACACCATTTTTATTCAACTCTACATTAGT